CACACACACACACACACACACACACACACACACACACACACACACACTTTCTCTCTATTTCTCTCTCATCTCTCTCTGTCACACACTAATTTAAAATAAAAATTAATTACTTAAAAAGACAGTTGACCATTTAAATTGTACTACATCACAGTAAATAAGTTTAAATTTTAGAGTGCATGAAGAATTCAGAAAAAATTAAGGTCATGGGGCCCTTTCCACTGTCATGAGTTCCTACTTCCCCTTAGCCAATTTAATTAAATACTTGTTCTCCCTCTTTAAAATAAAATGGTCATATTAGATGAATGTTGAGGTTCTTGAGAACTTAGAGACAGTGTTGCTACTTCCAAGGACCTACAATGCTCCCCCTGTCCTTATTTATGGGGCTATTATAACTGGCCTTTGAGGAAGCCCACATTATTGTGTTTCAGGGGAGAATAAATGGCGGCACTTGAGATTCCTAATACAAAGAAGTCTGAAGAGGAAGATTTCCTGCCACAGGCGCGGCTGAGAGCAACACTGGCTGTCCAACAATGACCAGCAGGTACTGTGCACACACACTGAAGAGTTCTCTTCCTTCCGTCACTCGCTATGCTGTGGCTGAGCGGTGCCCAACAAAAACACAATGGCCTTTGGATGCTCTGACTACCAAGAGTTTCTAAAACGCTTAAGCTCAGAAATGAACGGCTGTGGGTGGTTGTTTGTTTGTTCGAAGATACGCTATACACTGCACTATACTCTCATTTGGTACAGCTTTATGAAGCACATTACAGAAAACTTTACTGCCAAGAATCTACTCTGGGAAAAAGAAGGAGTTTATTTAGGGAGTTCATTAGCAAAGACGCTGCTTTCCACAACCAAACAGAAGAGCCCCTCCCTTCAAGGGTGCTGCTTCAAAACAGAATACAGATTGTTAATGGTGCTGGTGACCTGATATTTTTTTTCCCATATTATTTTATAAAAGTACAAACTAAAACAACAAAAATACTTTTAATTATCTCATTTTAAAATACTTTTGAAAATATTAAAAAAATATATTAATTAGTACAAAAACTAGGCTGTAGAGATGACTCGGCAGGTAAAGGTATTTGCTGTCAAGCCTGAAGACCAGAGTTCGGTCCCCAGACCTGCCTCAGGCAAGTTGTCTCTTTATCTCCTCATTTGTGCTGTGGTTCATATTCATCCATACACGTACAAACGTAGCAACTGAGTTCATGAAGCCAGTGCACGCTTTAAATTTTGTGCTCAGAGCCTGTACTGTTTCTAGAATAAAAAAAAATAAAAGCAAAGTTTTGAAAGACTAAAATTGAATGGGAAAGGAACTGGCTAAATAGCAAGAGTGTAGGCAGATCCGGGAGACGGTCTTTAACGCGAGCCCATTGCTTACAGGTATATTCATAACTAAGACACAGTGGTTGCTTCTCAAAATATTCGCTTCCTGCTGAGCATTTAAATATTGGCTTAACAACCAGAAGTCACAGTTGTAGCGGGTGCCATTTGGAGAGGTGCAGGCACGGACGGGTGTGCACACAGGTCACGGAACGACTCTGGGTGTCATTCCTCAGCCACCTTGCAACTTCTTGAGGCTGAATGCTGAACGCTGTCAGGTAGGTCAAGCTAGCTGCTGAGCAAGAGGATGGGGTCCTCCTGTCTCTGCCTCCAATCTCGTCATCACTGGGATTACGAGAGTACACCCCTTTGCCTGATGCTTTACACGGGTCCTGAGGGTCCAGTTTTGGGAGCCTGCTGTGCAAGTGCTTGGTGGACAGAGCCACCTTGGAGGCCGGATGAGTGTTTTTGATGCACAAATTAAAAACTGCCTGGACAGGCTACCTACTTACTCTAAAATATAATTTCCTATTCTTCAAATCCTGTGTAAGAGGATGCTTAAGCAACAAGTAAAATGACCCCCCCCCACACACACAGAGAGAAAAGGTAGGCATGATTACTGTTTATCCCAGCATATACTTACAAATTTCTCCAACGTCTTTATGCATCTTTTCCCTTTTGAGAAAAATACTTCATCTCTTTGTATATTGAAAATTCTTACTTATTAAGCATCTATGAACGTTAAAAGCTAGTGAAATAGCCATTCTTCCAAGTCCTCCGAACACCTCTCTTGGCCAAGGAACACTTTCACTCCATTAATACTCCAAGCAATGAGGTTTCAATAAGCAAGCATCCATGTCAGTGTTCATTTGCATATGATAATCATATACCTATTAAACCATAAGTATTGGGTTCATAGTGATGTTTCCGTGGGGAAGAAAGGATGGCAAGGACGTAGACTATTACCACACAGGACTTACCAGGATGATGTCAGTTTTATTTTGTGTTCCCTCCTCAACACACAGGTCCCTCTCCATAGTCCCATCTGGCCTGGAACTCACCATGGCTGGCCTTGTACTCAGAGATCTACCCGTTTCTGCCTCCCAAGAGCTTGTTTTGCTCTTTAAGCATTGGCTCTCATGGGCATATGATTCCTTTTGTGTTTGTACATCAGAGAACAAGTAATTAATGGTAGTGATACGCAAAGGATATTAAAAATAGTGAGCCCTTAAAAATTCCTTCTGAAATGAATCTAAACTTCTTCTGGATAAGAGTACGCTTTTCTTAACTTCAGCTATTATAGACATTCGATAGGAAAAAGTACTTTGGGTTATGACCTGTTACTTTAATTTAAACTATACATTTTTAGGTTATGACTTGCTACTTTCAGTTAAATGACACATTTTTGGGCAATAAATACTGACCTCCATAATCCCCACTCACCAAGAAAATGAATAAGATATAGAAAATATATTTTTAAATGGATGTTTTCATTCCATAAGTTATTCGCTGGAACAAAGTAGAAAAGACCATGGAAGCTATATTGGCACATACAGGCCGCTAGGGTAGGGCCAAGTAAATCACAGCTTGCTGCTCCAAATGGTCCCCAAGTGGCTTTCCAGACGTATGCTACTTCTAAAGCTGTGCACTAGCTGGAAGCCAACATCAGTTTTACTCATTTGCAGGCTGAGATTCCTTTCCACTCGGTGTGCTGAAGCAGGACTTTAATGGCACCCCAGTGGCCTCCGAGACTTAATGCAACTTCCAAAAGGATCTCACTTGCTTCAGCGAGAAGTGTACTGACTAGAGACTGGAGCTCGGGCCATATTCCCTTTGCTAGAATCAAGGTCTCAGGACCTGTCTACCTGGCTTCATAGAAAACATGAGCACATAAGGGCTGCTTACTGGTCCAGACTGCCAATACTCGCAGGCAGCCTCAGTCTCTGCTAGCTCCCACCCCCACCCCACCCTGTGACTGCTCTCCTGCTCTCTTCCCATGGAGCATGGACTCTTCTTCTTAATGAGCATGACAGATCCTGTCACCCCTGACTTGAAAAGTAACTGTTAGTGGCTCCCTGTCACCCTCAGGATAAAGTCAAGCTCCTTACCCAGCTTATTTATCAGGCCTTAGCTGGTCTGGTCTCTATTTATCTTCTGGGTTTGTTTGATCTCTTTCTAGCAGTCCTAGCCCCACCCCACCCCCAGATGCCTAGTCCAGCCTAACTGGTGACCTGGCATGTTGTTTTCTGAGTGCCATTCTGCACAGCTCATATCTGCAGTCAAATACTGACCAACTTCTAGCCAACTTAATTCTGTATGGTCTAGAAACCACTATGCACTGTGCAAGCCTGGATCATTCTGTCTTTCATTTATCTGCCTTCCTTTTTACCTGTTGATAAGGTTGTCTTTGTAACATGTATATATGCATGTGTATATGACCACATCCACGGCTCTCTCTCAGCATTAAGCCAATTACTACAAATTTGTCTATCAACAAACAAGTAGTAATTATACTTGTTAGTCCTTTATGAGATGGGCGTATATAAATGTTATGCACACACACACACATTTAAGTATTTGATCCTACTCATCTCTTCTGGTCCTACTCCCCAATAAGGGGGACAATCACATTTCATTTTACACATGCAGAAAACACCTGAGGTCCTAAGAGACGTGGCAGAGCCAGCTGTGACTCTATCTCATTGTGCCACTCACTTCGAAACATGGAGCCCTTCACCTCCACAGTGGATCGACTATCAGAGTAAGCAAGACTGCTTTCTTATGTTTGAATCTATGCAATCAAAATATGACTGATGAATGGCCTCTGAGTTATCAGGAGGCCCTGTTGAAAAGTGCCTGTCTGAGGCCCTCCCCAAATCCAGGAACCCCAGCAGTTGGGGTAAAAGACGTGTATAGCCTCAAAGCCTATATGTTAACCAAAACCCCACAATGCCTGAGTTTTACTACTATGCTTCAGCACCAAACTCAATAGATGTTCTAGGAACTGCTTCAAAAACAAGTGAGCAAGATGAAATATCTTTAGGCACAAAGCAAGTAATTATACCTGTGTGGTGCATTGGTGGGGCTTTTCAAAAATGTTCAACATTCATGTATATCTTTATCCTGAGTGCCTGTGTGTCCACCTGAGTGTCACATACACACGTGGAGGTCAGAGGACAACTTGAACCACCTAGAGAAACTGGTTGTCTTCTGCCAGGTGGATCTCAGGGACGTAAACCAGGTCGTCAGGTTGGCACCAAACACCATCACCTGCTGTGCCATCTGACCAACCTAGACTGAGCTCAGCTGTCCCCGAGTTGAGCTACAGATTGCAAAGAGTGGGAAGTCCCATGAGTATAGCTGGTGTGCAGATGCT